CTAATTAAAATTGGGAATTAATCTTAATTTCAATTTTAAAAGCTAAATTCAAGTTGATTCATGGATTAAATTAATAGTTTTACATTAAGTTTTTTTTTTAGAAACATGTTTAATGAAGTTAGACTGTATATTCATGTGAAATGTATAAAAATAAGAAAACTAAAATGAAAAAGAAAAAATATATAATTTATTTTTTTAAATAACTTGCTAAATTTAAATCAAATTAAATTAAATTAATTAAATGCAGAATACATATCGATTATTCAAGACCATTCACATATCAAGAGAATAAATCAATTATATTGAACTTTTTCCTTTTTATCAAAGGTTTTGATTTTTATATATTTATACATGATTTTTATTTTATGTTTTCATGAGCCAATTATTATGTAAAAACAATGATTGGGGTTTTAGGAAAACCTAAAGAAAGATTTTTTTTTTTTTAATTTCTTATCAATATAATTAAATAACAATAAAAAATATTACAAAAATTTTAATTTTAAATTTATTAAATGTCATATCTTAAAATAGCTGCATAATAAAAATCCAATTCCACTTTCATTAATGTAAGCATACAATTTCAATTATATATTTAATCATCTTCATGCTTATAACAAATAAGGGTATAAACATTTTGTTTTTTTACAAAAGAATAATTGAATGATGGGAATAAAGGGTTTGGGAGGAATTAATTCAAGTTTAAGATTGGCTACTTTCAGGTTGTTAGGTTGATCATAAGGCATCCAGTAAAAACTATGAAATGCTTAAGTTGTACTACAGAAGAAGAATATAGCGGCAATAAATTTCATTAAGCTTCGGCGGTTAAGCTACAATTTACGGTGGAAGAATTATTGCCTATATAGCAGCCATTACTAACTGTCCCCTTAGGAGCTTAAGATGAATGAGAATCAGTTGGAAGCAAAGGGTTTTAGTAGATTTTCCCATCTGCTTTAAACGGACTAACATGATTCATGAATGCCTTCTAACTCTGAAAACTCGGTGACTAAATGGTCATGTTGTTAGAAAATATATTTAAAATATAAAAATATAATTAAGTAATAAATTTAATCAAAAAAGATAAAGAAATCAAAATTAAATTAATAAATTAATATAAATAAAGTCCTAAAAGTTTAAATATATGATTTTAGACTTAAAAAGAATCATATAAAAAGACTATAAAGGAGAGTCATCAACTGCCATGTTTAAAGTAGTCGACTATCTTAGTTATCTAAGAAGATCAGTCAATTGCCAAGGGCATAGAGTCGACTATTTGTCAAACAAAAGCTAAATTTTAGATTTATATAAATAGCAGTTGACTATCAACCTAGAACAACCGACATTACAAGAATTAGTATTTTTAGCGAAAAAAATTGTCACTAAAAATATAAAATTTAGTCACTAAAATTTATAGTGACCAATTTTAGAGTTGTCACTTGTCATCACAAATAACTTCGTCACTAATGTATTATTGGCGATATTTATTAGGTCGCCACAGTATTGCTTTTTTTGTGACACAAATTTTGACACTAAAAACATTAAAATATATGACAAAAAAAGTTATCACAATAGCTCATTTTATTGTGACAATTTTTTTAACTTTAAAAAAAAATTAAAATAGTGACAAAAAAAGGTTGTCACAATAACATTGTTTTCTTTTGACGATAATATCGATTCTAAAACTATAGCAATAGTTACAAAACTATGATTATTTATGTTATTTTTATTAGTGACAAAATTTTCTTCACTAGTATTTATTGAAATAGTATCGAATGAATTATGTCACAAATATTAAAATTATTTCTTGCAATAATTATTGTCACTGATAAATTAGTTATTATCAAAACAAAATTTGTCAATTTATATTAAAAAAATACTATCATTAGTAACTATAAAAAATAAATTGTCACAAAAAATTGCATTTGTAATTACAAAATAATAGTCACTAAAAAGTTGTTTCAAAATAAAATATGGTTATAGTGAGATAAAAATGTGGTCACCTCATTTATTTTAAAAATAATAAATAATGATAACAATAATGATAAATAAAATACCAAAATATATATCATGTTTTTAATTTCCTATATCCAATCTCAAAAGTAATATCCAAAATACAGTTATCAATAAAATTATACTAGTATTTTTCTACCAAAAAACTAAATAATTACTAAAAAAAAGGTTTTAATCTACAAAAATGATAATATCCAAGTGAAAATCCAAGCTAAAAGTCCATAGTTGATCACAGCAAAGTTTACTCTTCATTATTTTTCCTACAAAACAAACAAAAATAAGAAAAATAATAAATTAATGAATAGTAAAATTTTATCTTATATAATAATAATTATTATAATATTAATAAGTGACTTTAATTATTTAATTATTGTATTTACATCATTTCTTGGAGAATTTAATATAGATACATTGAATAACAGACTAGAAATTAATCATTTAAATGTGCAAGTACATCTTTCAATTGTTTCAATTCCATGGTTTGTTTGTTAATAGCCCTACCTTGAGCAATAAGTTCTTTACATTGAGCTTCCATATTTTTATGAAGTTTGATGTTGGCCTTTTCTTATTTTTTTTGTGATTTCAGTAACCTTTTCAACCTTTTTCTCTGCACATTTCTTTATAGCTTCAGCTTCTGCAATAATATGACTTTTTTCTTAAAAGGTAGATGTGGTCCCTCCAACATCTACACCATATGAGTAATTTCACTTTGCTATCAAAATAAGAGCAAAAATGCTCCATGTGAGTATCATGTTATGCATCACTTGAAGTTGCCAAAGACTTGCATCATAAAATATTTTTTATCTTAGAATCATCACCTTAGTTGAATTCTAAAAAATATGTTTTTTTTTTTAATGTTTTTAACAAAAATTACATTTTTATCTTAGAAACGTCTTTTTTTTAAACAAATATTGCATTTTTTATCTTAAAAATATTGTCTCTGTTAAATTCTAAAAAAATAATTTTGCTCATATTTTTAATAAAACCACATATTTTGTCTTAGGAATGTTATCTTTGTTGGGTTATGAAAAATAATTTATTCATTTTTTCAACAAATATTGTGTTTTTAATCATAACTTTTATAAGGATTTCAATAGTACTGTGTTAAAAAAAGTGATCTTTGTTTAAAATATATTCAAAAAAAATTATTTTCATAATATTTTAAAAAAAATTACCATGTTTTTAAGGTAAATAGCATTATTTATATAATTTCAAAATGTAATTAAGTGAGGACAAATAGAAAAAATTTTCACTTTCTCTGTGAAATCTTAAAAAACTTCAAAGAGATGAGAGTTTTTTATTTTCCTTACTTTCTCACTTTTTGACACTGATGAAAATTTTAAAAAACCTTAACAATCATATTCTTGTGAATCAAGCCAAGGAATCAAATTATAAAAATTAAGATTTCAAGAAGGAAAGTTTCTTCCTCCTGAACCAAATGCTCTTTAAATAAATTTTTTATTTTACTGGATATGCATATCTAAAAAGTTATAAAATTGATAAGAAATCTATATTATGAAGTTTTAAAATTAATATGAAAAAGGTAAATAAGTATTTTCACCTAAATTTTTTTTTTTTTTTAAAAAAATTTGGGTGTGGAGAGAAAAAATAGAGGTGTGTAAAGATGTTAATATTACCTATATCTAATGGGTAACCCGATTTTTTACTTGAATGGAGATAAGTATTATATTGTGGTGATAGGAAAGATATGATTTTAAATTTTTATTTGGTATGGGGAATATGATGAATAATATAGCACTTGTCTCGTATTTAAACTCTAGATATATTTTTATATATTTAGTAAATAGATTTTTTGTTAAATAATATAAATTATTATTTTAAATTAATTAGAATTAATATATTTTATTTAAAACAATATATTAATGTATATTTTTTAAAAAATTACATAAATATATAAGATAAAACTTAAAAATTAAAAAAATAAAAATTGGTTTTTATTTTTTTTTTAAAATGAATACAAGAATTATCCATACCTATTAAATATCTACAAAATAAGAAATAAGATAGATTTGAAATATCCATTAAATATGAATACAAAAATAAAAATAATATAAAACTTTGAAAATGAGGATAAAAATAATTCACTTAGCTTATATCCTATCCATTACCATCCATAAAAATATATTTCAGAAACCTCTCAATTATACTAATTGTCTGAGAATGAATAAAAAAATCCCATCACCGTCCGTTAGTTGCATTCCGAGATTCTCGAAATGGTCTCTTCTAACGGTAACAATAGTAAATGGGCCTTATACACGACACAGGCCTAAGCCTTACAATAAAGCAAATGTAAAAAGTCTAGCAATTTACTTTTTAAGGCCTTAACGTGCTTTTGATTTTCGATGGATAGGTCAACATATGATCTCCAATGCCCAATAGGCAATGGGGTCAGTCAGTTAAGGACGGTGGTCAATTTTTTTTAGCACATTTTTCTCATTCATTGGATTGGCTGATGGAAGATAGAAAATGTGTATCAAAGTATTTCCGCCTTTTTTTTTAATGGCTTTAGTTCAATGATAAGTGGGCGGAAGTGGAATGAGAAAGCCATGGACCAAACCAAATTTGTCACCCAATTTATGCTTTCATCGAGTTAGACTTAGGCCTAGGGAAAGAAAATAGCAAGTAGGGAAATGTGACAAATGTGCCATTTTCATGGCATGTAATCCACGCACCCCTAATTTCATTGACTAAAACAAAATGTGCTGCTAATGATCATTTGATTCGTTGAAAAAGTGCCGGTGAGAATAAGGAAATATATAGGCACTTTAGCCATATATGTTTAGTTTCTAAAATGACATTTACAGTTTTACACATTTTAGAAAATGATTTTAATTTAAACCCATTTTACGTTCAAAAACAAGAAAAACAAAAAAAAAAAAATGCTAGATAGCCATTAGTGTGGAATGACGCGTGGATTGACATCCACAAAAGCTGAAGTTAGAGAGCAAGAGACGCTCACAGACCACAAGAGTGTCAACTTTGCGGCAGTTGTTGTAAGAGTCTTTTCAAAGGCTCTCCGTCTCTCTTTGCCCCTTTTTATGTTTGTCCTTGAAGGCTCAAAAGGCTATCTTCCTTTTCCCCGTCTTCTTCCTCTTCTCTTCACATTCATTTGAGACCCTCTTAATAAGGGAAGTGAAGGAGGGGTGCTCTGAAGCTGGCTGCTTCCTGCATTTCCGTTCCCATGGCTTGCAAAATCTCAGATTCCATGTTCCTTTGCTTAGTATGTTCTGTTTTATCAATCTGTAAAAAAATGTATGCTTTCTTTGTTTTCACTTCTAAATTTCGTTCCTTACTGGTTTGATTTTCAGGGTACTAGTCAAAGGCCAATTAGGAGTCAAAGAATTACTACTCATTCTTCTCCAGGTATTCATCTTTATTTCTCTCCCTTTATCTTGTCTATTAAACTCAATATATTCAAGCTGTCGACTACTTAGTGAAGTTTTTGGTACATTTGGTGATAAGGGTTTTGTTACTTTGATGTATTTCTTAAGTTAGTGTTCTTCGCAATGCTTCTTTTGAGCTGCATTATCTGTTGACTATGGCAATGCAATTTCAAGTTAATCAATGCTGTGTCTTAGTTTCTTGCATCATAATTGTTAGTATCTTTGATTCCGATAATTAGCAAACTAAGAAGAATGAATCTTTCACTGTGGCAATATGAAGTTACAGTGTAACGAACAATTAGAAGTGTACCAGGAGGTTTAGAACAAGTCTGAAGGGACATACACATGGTGTGAGAACATTTTGCTTGCAAAATTACTGTAGCTTATCTGCAAAAAGGACATGGGTTGTGCAAATTGGCAACAATTAAACCACTATGTGGATGCTTTCTATTGTAAATAAAAGTTTTTTTCTCTCTATTTTCTTAAAACTCACCTTATACTTCAAAGTTGAAACACTGCACGGCAATATGCTCAATTGAAAGAATTTCAAGTGGACAAGTGGATAGTTTCTTGTAGTTCATCATATTCCATGTGAAGTGTCTTGCCAAAAAACTATATGGATTTATGAACTAGTTTATCTCAAATACAAAGCTTCTTGAGCTAAGTTGTTTTGTAGTCGATCAGTCCTTTCAGTTTGTTTGCATAAAAATCTGGTACAGCCTCAGAATTGTTAGCTTTTACACATGTATGATTAGCATTGTGTGTAGTATGAACCTTATAAGCTATCATGTAATTTCCTCTCATTTACTAGTATTACAGCTTTTAATGCCTTTTTTTCCAATTAGCAACTATCTGTCATTTGAAGTGGGACAACCTTCTCCTCAAGGGAATTAATCATAAAAAGGGTTTAAGTCCCTTGAGAAGGACTAAAGTCATACAAGCTGTGGCAGTTCCAGCGACAGCATCTTCAGCAGACAGTGCTGAGTACAGAAAACAGTTAGCAGAAAGATATGGATTCAGGCAAATTGGAGAACCGCTTCCTGATAATGTTACATTAAAGGATGTTATAGACACCCTTCCAAAAAAGGTAACTTTTTATGGGTGCCTCTTGCTTCAAACTTATTCAAATCATTTGCCCTGAATTTGGTCCAAAGAAAAATGTTTTGCCATTTTGGACTGTTGAGTGAATTTTTGGTCCATATGATTGTCTGTATGAGTTAAGGAGCTAATTTTGTTAAAGAATTGTGTCTTTGCTCCTTTCATGCTTAAATATAATAAAATAATTTTGCATTTACGGAAAAGCAGATAAGAGTGTTTAAGGATGTTTTACTTTTTTATGCCTTATTCTGATAATTTGAACTGTAGGAAAAAAAACATTAAGTGTGGCTTTTTGTTTTCTTTCTGAAGTGAAGTTATGAACTTGAATATGTAAATGCTATTATTTAACTACTAAATCTCTTTATCCGATTCTTCTTTTTTTTTTTTCCTAATTTTCTTCTAAGGTGTTTGAGATTGATGATGTGAAAGCATGGACTTCAGTTTTAATATCTGCCACTTCCTATGCATTGGGGATCTACATGATTTCAAAAGCCCCATGGTGTATGCTTCCTTTGGCTTGGGCATGGACAGGGACAGCAATAACTGGGGTAAGTTTCTTTACAGTCTCTTCTTGTTATATTTTTATATTACCCTTTATTTATTATAAAAGGCAAATCCAATATACATCTATGCCAACTTCCTTTTTGTTTTCCTTTTTCCCTTCCCATTTCTTTAGTTCTTTGTTATAGGCCATGATTGTGCTCACAAATCATTTTCGAAAAACAAATTATTGGAAGACATTGTGGGAACTTTGGCCTTTCTACCACTAATATACCCATATGAGCCATGGCGGTTTAAGCATGACCGGCATCATGCAAAGACAAACATGTATGTATGGTATTTTAGTGGTTGGTTACTTTTATTTCGTAACAAACCCCATTTTTGTTAGTTTCACTGTTGCTGTAATGTGTTTCAATGTCATTACTGGGAATGTGCCTTACTGTGGTGACAGCATCTTGAACCCACTCTCTTCTGCAGAGCATTACGTTTTTTCTCTTAATATTCCACATTAATGAACGTATAGACTGTGTAGAATAAATTTCTAAGAGTGTGCCTTAGTTACTGATCTGAAAATTTTGTACTTTTTCAAATGATTATGGGGGGAATGTTGCTTCTCAATCTGTTATTTGAAATCACTGGTTATCACTTACACAGGAACACATATAATATAGGAGATGCAAACAACATATTTGCTGCATATGTGCTAGAGTTCCTCCGTTGGTCAGAGTCCCCTACCCCTTTTAGATGATTAGCTCCTTTTCTATCATGTTACCCTTATACATGTAGTGTAAGCACTTGAATTTCTCCCCAAGTTGTTTTGATATTGTTTTCGAGTGGCTAGTCTGGCATTCAGTATCCACCAAATTCCACTTATTTTTCTCTTTCATACATTGTAGCTAACTAACCAACTAACTAACTATGCTGGTTCTTATCTTCCGTTTAATTATACTTCTTTTATTAGTACTTTTAACTTTAAAAAATCTTTATTCATATCTGTAGGCTATCTGAAGATACTGCATGGCACCCAGTTTGGGCAGAAGAGTTTGAGACTTCTCCTTTTTTACGCAAGGCTATTATCTTTGGTTATGGCCCATTTCGGCCTTGGATGTCCATAGCTCACTGGTATGCAATGCAAAATGGTTGGTTCTTTTTTTTTTGTCTTTTTTGGACCTTGGTGTCCACATTTATCTTTAATGAGGTGGCATGTTTCACTTCCACTCTCTTCCCCTTCTTATTTTGACATATACATTTTTAATGTATAGGTTGATCTGGCACTTCGATGTAAACAAGTTCAGACCAAACGAAGTCAAAAGGGTGAAGATCAGCTTGGCTTGCGTTTTTGCATTTATGGCAATTGGATGGCCATTGATCATCTATAAGACAGGAATTATGGGATGGATGAAGTTTTGGCTAATGCCATGGTTGGGCTATCACTTTTGGGTAATGCTACTTCCTAGTCTCATTGGTTTTATTTTATGAGTTCAAACATCATTAACAGGCAAATATCATTGGATAAGATTTGATACTTTATGAAACTCTATATCAGTCTGATGGACCTTAATTTAGCTTCTAATGCTATTTGATCATGTGGAAAACCTGCCTTATTTCTTTTAGTCAAATATTGTCCAGAGCGATACTTGAAACCAGCTGCCTAAAGTGGGTGTTTTTTATAATTTCTTTAACTGTTTCTCATAAAATACTGATAATATTCTCTTCATTGTGTGTTTCAATCAAGCAAAAGCAGTGAGCTTTTACTTCTTTGTTATATTGAAAGAAAAGTGAAAGGTCATTTAGACATGATTGGTTTATGGTTAATAACATGATAAACGGAACATGCATTCAAATCCGTGATTTCTTTTTCCCAATTTTCCCTCTTTTTGTCTTAATTTTTCTGTGACCGTCAGTTCGCTGATCTATTTGTAATAGTTCTTTAGAGAATGTCTGCCTCTAATAACTTCATATTTTTGCATGTTTTGCTAAGAGTTGATTCATCATAGATTGCCAAACTCTGGCTCCATGTGAGTGCAAGTGATTAGGTTATGTAACTTATCTATTTTTGTTTCTGAGAAATTTTGGTTTTTCTTAAAAATTGACAGATGAGTACTTTCACAATGGTGCATCACACTGCTCCTTATATACCCTTCAAATCTTCAGATGAATGGAATGCAGCTCGGGCTCAGCTGAATGGAACAGTGCATTGTGATTACCCTCGTTGGTAGATATATTACTTTTCCTGCTATTCTATTGATCTTTTATTCGACCAACCATCATGTGTTACAGAAGCTGACTAAACTAGATGATAGAGTTAGCTTTATCAGACATCATATTTAGGGGATGCCTTTTCCCTATTCTCTCACTCAACATTCTGTTTATTTCCTCTGGTTCGATGTCCTTGAAGACTCTGGAAAAATGCTGAATTTTATATATTTAACAGGGTTGAGATCCTCTGCCATGATATCAATGTCCACATTCCCCATCATATTTCTTCGAGGATACCAAGCTATAATCTACGAGCAGCCCATATGTCTATTAAAGAGACTTGGGGACCGGTATGGCAAGCAGGATTTTGATTTTACTTAGTTCATCAACCTGCACTTTTTCTTCTTGTTAGATTAGAAATGACTTTTCTCTAATTGAAAATTTGATGTATTATTACCAGAAAATAGAAAAAGGAAGAAATTTTTCAAAAATGAGGTGAAGGTTGTACTGAATAATAAAAATTAATCAAACCAAGTTAGAGGGGAAAAAACAGAAAGAAGAGAGAGAAAGAGAGTTTTAACAAGAAATAGAAAATCATACAAAAAGTCATGTGACTCTTTTTAAAATGGTTTCTAGAACAACATTATGGTCATTTACTAAATCCTCCTTAAGATGCTAATGAGTGTTCTCTTTGCATGTTGATGTTGGCAACAGTATCTGAACGAGGCTAAATGGAATTGGCGTTTGATGAAGACAATAATGACAGTGTGCCATGTTTACAATAAGGAGCAAAATTACATTGCTTTTGATGAACTTGCCCCTGAAGAATCTTCTCCAATTATATTTCTCAAAAGAGTAATGCCTGATTACGCTTGATTATTTAAACACTTTGTCGTCCATCGGTTTTTTGGTTCTTCCTTATCTGTTAGCCTTCTCTTTTGGGTCAAATTAGTTATGCTATTCCAGTTTCACAAGTGTTCATTGGAATGGTGAATCATTCTTTTTTTAGACATTTCTTATTTGACAGAAGAAAGTACTATAGAGGAAGTTTCCTGGGAAATTTCTGTTGATTTTAGCTGCCAATGTTGGATCTTGAATATAGGAATTTGTTATGGTTAAAGAACTGGATCCTGAAAAAATGATTCCTATTGAACTATCAGACCTTACAGTATCTTTGCTGTAAAATGATTTTGTGAATTGTTTTCTCATTTCTGGCTAAATTGACCCCATCTGTCAGCACTTAGATTAAAAAATACTGAAGTGTAGAAAAACATCAACGATCTGGGTGACATTGGTTGGCACCAGTAGTCATTATGGCTGACAATGATTTTATATGCTCCTGACATTTGAGCTTTAAGTGTCAACTAATTGCAAACCTAATCTTAGTTGCCATATTTTAATATTCCCCTCTGTAGGGCTATTAGAATTGGGATCTATTCCCAGATTAGGATATTAGCCATGATAAACGTTGGAGATCTAGTTGAATCAGTATTACAGGACTGAGCAAGAAATGCGGTCTGGAACTTACAACTGTTGGATGGACCAGAAGACTAGTAAAAGGCAGGAAGCCGAGTTTGTTGTGTGGGGCGTTATGATTAGTAGATTTGGTGCACCCGAAAACCCCTTTGAGATTGAAAAGTAGATTTAGGATTGTATCGAATGGAAACTCATCTGAAACTAAAGTAGTTAGCCACCCACCTAACTTCAGGCACAGCACCACTTCATAATTCTGTCAAATGTAAGATAGTAAAGCAGTTGCAACTGCTCACATGGAGCGAACATCTCTATTTTTTCAAGCACAAACATAAACGGTGGACCTTTGAGATTCATTAAAAAAAATTGCTAGGACTCTGATGAAAACTAGGTCAAAAGAGCTTTCTATATTATCTGCTACCAGTGGTTTATAAATCAATTTCATTTCTCTGAAATAGCAAGCAAGCTCTGTACAAAAACAACTTTGAATATCACCCTTTGATCTTTGCCTAACCTATGATATTGGTTTTAATCGTAAGTTCATCCTCCATGTTCAACCACCTAAAAAAGGACATGACTATTACATAAAAAAACTGAAGAAACACTGCTACAGTAAATCAAACCATGATCATTATGTAAGTCATATAACCGGCGGTGGTGGAGTTTCCCATATGTCAAACACATTTTCCTCACTATGTAGTGCAAAGAGACGATCACCCCCTATTGAAAAATCACAAATTGAACCCCCATAACTTCTTCGAAGCCTAGATGTTAACACCCAATCAGGACCACAAAACACAGAAATGCAATCATTCATTGATGAAAACAACTGACCATTATGCAATGCCAATTTCGGATAGCAAGGCTCATCTGGCATCTTCCCCTTCATCAACCTACTTCTGGAACTCCACCTCACACTTCCTCCACTGAACCTCAAATCTATGAACCCCAAATCCTCATACTCGTTCACTACACAAACAGAATTACATTCCTCCATTGCAATAGCATCTCTTACTCTCTTCTCATCAACGGTTACAGGAGCACCAATATCAGACCACGACCAAACCATTCTCTTCTCTCTAAAATCAAGCAAACTGATATAACAGTTATCCTTTCTGGGAAACAAAGTAGCAACTAACAAACAGTTACTCCCATTCAACCATTGTAGTTTATCGGCATCGCCAAGGGACCAGCCAGGACTCTCATAAAAGAAATCCATCTGTTTACCAGTAACTTGGTCCCAAACTCCAATCCCATACTCATTGCTCCTCCCTCTACAACTTGCAAAAATCTTATAATCAGGACTAAAACTCAAAGCCCCAGCAGTGTAACTCTTAACTTGATTATCATGAACAACATTAAACTTGTATCTCAAATCTCCATTAGATGAACTAAACAAACCCATCCCACCATCTCCTCTCCCTAACCTTTCACAAGCACTTATCAAAACATGCTCAGCGTTGACCCAACCAATGTCGTTGATTCTCTGGTAATCAAGATTTATTGGCGGATGTTCTTCTAACATCCAATCAAAAACATGAACCATGCTACCATGAGCTACACAGCAGCCACCGTCTGGACCAGCTCGGATGGCGGTTCCATCCCCTGGGGCTCGCCCTGTCACTGACTTAGATAGCTTTAACCTGTTACCATCAAATGGACCCCACTTAGCCGAACGAACATGGTCAATTAAGCCATAAAACATGGCTTCTTTGTAAAGAAGCCTTTCGGGGACATTGGAAGGAATGTAGAGATCGCCTGTGCGGAGAAGATCGAGGAGGACAGCGAAGCAGTCGGGGTTTCGATCGATAAAAAATTCTTGGTGATTGTTTCGTTGTTGTTGTAAGTCCCAATTGTCGTCAAAAAATGCACCGAAAAACGAATCCCTGCCTGCGTTTGCAAGTGTTGTAGCTGTGGTTTGAAAGATTCTGCCTCCTACGTTGAATTTGACAATGTCTTTTTGGATTCCCATGATTCAATTTTTTGTCAAAATTTGAAGAATCCTAGATAGAGAAACAGAGGAAATTTTGGTACTTTGGTCTGAGAATTGAGCGTTTGAAAAAAGTCCAGGCAGAGGATTTCAAGGGATGGAGAAAAAAAGTGATAAATTTCCTCAAATTTTGGAGAATTTAGAGATAATTTAAGATCAAAAGAGGAACCAAAGACAGGAGAGACTAACAATGAAGCAATTGGAATTGAAAGATGAATGAAAATCTCCAATTTGAACAGTGATTAATAAGAGGAGGTACTTTGGTTGAATAGAATCAGGGAAATGAATTAAATGGGGGAGATTTAATCAAATTGAGGAAAACTGAGATCTGGGTATTGGAAATACAAGGTTTTTGAAGCTCGGTTTTGAATTTCGTGGGAGTTGGTGAAGAAAAATTGAAGAATTGCAGCGTCTGAATTTAAAATAAATTGACTTATTTACATTGCTTTCTCCACGTTTTTCTTCTTCTTCTTCCACGTCTGTCGTCTGTCTGTTTGAGCTTTATGTAAATGAAGTAGTCTGTCTTGCGGGGTCCAATTTTTTGGTTTTGCTCCTCTTCCCGTTCCACTGTTGATGGTTCAAATATCAAAATCAGATTGAATTCCAATGCTCAGCGGTGGATATATCATGATGAAGGTCCTCCATATTGAAGTCCTTAGTTAGGCTCTTTTTCTGCTTGTTAATAAAGTCAGTATTATTGAAGTCTTTAGCCTGAAGAGACCATGTCTTGTGGGGTGTCTCACTCTCTTTTTCCATTTTTTTCTCTTAATTTCTTTTTTATTATATAACTATAAAATATCACCATTATTATTGTACTATTTATATTCATATTGGGATATGAAGGACAATCAAATTGACGCGCAAATTGAGACTTTGAGACTGTTTAATTTTCTCTTATTTCAACTCTTCAAATCATGCTATTACTAAGGGTTCTTGTGATTTAGCATTATTTTTTTGATAATTGTCGTTTAGCATTTGTAGCATCAATAAAGATAAACAAACAAATTTATGTCATGTAAGTCACCATTTTTATGCATGAAATTATATCTTCCAATTAAATTGTTTTACTCTTATGTCCCCATTATTCTTGGCCAAAGCACTCTGTTTTTCTGAGATTGCTATGCTGGACAGATAGGCTTTGCTGCAATTACTAGAAATCAACTAGGTGGCATTCCATAATTTACTGCAACTCTCTTGAACGATGAAAGCATTCTATAGAAGCCCCCCACCTCCCCCCCCCCCCCCCCCCAATTAAAATTATGTATTGGTAAATTGCGTGGGCCAAGATCTTTCTAGTTTTACCCCCTCATTTTTCTAACATTTATAAGATTCTGTCAATTGAATTTGATTTGTGAGGTGGGGTAGTGGAGGTTTTACGAGAGGGATGGGGATTATGCATCAATTGAATCCTTTTAGTCATTTTCTAATTGGTTAAACAACTCCCCATTCAACGAGATAAAAAAAATATAGTATAAACACACGTATTCCTTTTATTAATTAGATGCAAATGTGAATGGATAGAACAAAAATTATTTAAAATCGGCAACCTCTTTGTCTTTTGGCATGATTTAATTGTTGAATGAAATAAGCTTTCTCTCATTGTCTTAATTTTTTAAAATTATTTCTAGCAAATATAGCTTTCAGTTTATTAATGGATATATTCATTGATGAACATTCAATCACTAATTTTACTCCATATTAAGCAACCTCGAATAGCCAATGATTTTCTGATTTTCTTCTTTGTACTGTTTGATTCCTATGCATAATTATGGGGAGATGACACACCATAACAACAGTAAAAGAAAACACGTAGAAAGATTTCTGCGATGATTGTAAGGATATTTTTCAAGCTTCTGTCAAAGGATGAAGTAGAAGTAGAAGCTATCTTAAAATCAAACAGACTTGGGATAATTATTTTACTCGTCTCTTTATTGATCTCCGTGTTCATTATTTCCTCTTTCTGCTCTGTCTGATTCCTGTGTCTGCTCCTCTTCTTTTAGTTCCTGGAAACAGCAACCGCCAAATTACTACAAAATCATCTTATACCTTACTTTTGACGGTATTCTCCGAAACTTCTCACATTGATCTTTTCTTTTCAATTTAACTGTCTCAGATTTTGCATCATAATGTTACTTAATTTGTACCCAAACTTTAAAATAATTGAATTTGTAGAGCTTTTAAATTTTACAAAGATAATAAATTGTCAAGTAATTTTTATATAGTATATTGAGTTATTAATTTTTTTCATATATGCTTTAACTCGATAATTAATTTTGATTCAACGAATTCAGACAAGATGATATTAATTAAATTTTAAAAAAAAGCCATAAGAATGCAAAATCTACATTTAAAGATACTTGTTAGATTAATCATTAATGATAATATTGATTCCATCATATAATGTCACATTATAAATATGATGAGGACGTGGTCGTTAGCCCACGTTAATCAGTCTAAAAAATGAACAAGTCTACAAGCCAGCCAGAAGGGATACAAAAGCTTGAACCTAGCCAAATATCCCCTAGATATGATGAGACAAGAGATGAGGATATTTGTTGGGCAACCATTCCCACCTTTAACAATTTCATTAAAACGTTTGGCGGTATTTTTTCATGTTAGAGTTTAGGTTTTTTAAGATAATTTAAAATTGAATGTTTAATATGGTATTAAATTTTAAATTTTATTATAATTTTTTGTTTTGAGTTTATCAACATAATAATGAATTTATTAAAACGATATTATCTCATATTTATTAAAATTTAAATTTTTTATAATTTTATATTTAAAATGAGTTATTTTACTTATGATTAATTAAATTTAAAATAAATGCTTAACATTTTAAATGTATATTTAACATATTGAAAAAAATGTTTATGCAAAAAAAAAAAAAATCTTATTTAGAGAAGTTATCTTATCAAATTTTGATAAGTTGTTTTCCTAAAACCAACTACAAATAATAATAAAAAAATGAATCAGTTGACACATTCAATAAATTTTTAGGAGAAAAAAATTGGTTGGCAACTAAGTCCAATAGAAGCTTGAAGACAAAAATTTAAGGTGGGTTAGTTAGGAATTAAGGTTTCGGGTCTGATCTGGTCTTATCCAGCATTGTTTCATTATCAAGCTACGTTTTCCAGAAAGTCAACTTGGTTTATTATTTTGCCTATAACTAAAATTTGACTCCCTACGTCAAGGTGATATTTTTTAATTTTTTTTATTTTAATGTATTTATTATTATTTTAACATAAAATACTAAAAATTTTAATATGCACGAAATAGTAAAAGTTTAAAAAAATTTTAGATATAATATTTAATATGTTGTAATTATTGATTTTATTACTGGTTTTTTGTACTATATTAGAAGTATTAATAGTGATTTTATTTTAATTATTTAATTAATGGTACGATTTTTCTCATACATTAGAAAATTTTTTCTAAAAACAAAGAAAAATGAAAACAGTTCAATAATTATAATTTTAATGAAATCATTATTATTTTTGTGCTCCATATTTCTATTTATTATAATACATTTTAAGATTTTAATCTTTTATTGATTATAAATAATGAGTTAAAATCTCTATGCTTAGATCTTTTCTTTTCTTGGCAATCAATTAAGCACTTCAATTAGATTGCCCTTAAGAATAAATTTAATTGTATTTATTATTATTGTTATTATTTTTAGGATTAATATTTTGTATACTAATAGTACATCACTTCTATACATTATTAGTCAATAATATAATGATACTTCATTTGATGAATAAAATTTAAATTTTTCAAGCGTTTAAAAATAAATATTAATAAATTTATTTAGAGTCAATTAATTTTAATTAAAACTTTGTTTTTTTTTACCGCTTCCATCTTCAATTGTCACAAGAAATATCTCTTGACTTTCACTATCACCTCTCCCAAAAAAAAGAAAAAAAAGTTCTTCCTTGATTGTCGCTTCATTTAATCTACACCCAAAGGTAATTTTTTATTTTTGTTTTTTTTCCTAATTAGGGCTTTGAGCTAATCATTGATTTTGAATGTCATGTGAATCATTAGCAATGTTATAGAAATTGAAAATTTGATGTATTAGGAGATAGAATCCATTACAATAAACTGGAGACAATGCATTACAAAAATGAAACAGAAAATTCATAGCTTGCTTTAGTTGGAGCTTGATAAATTTTGGGCTTTTGTTACATGATAGATATGGTGTAATGAAGTAGGAAGTAAGCCATTTGTACAAAATGATTAGAAGTTCACTAATTTATTTATGAAGATTAATATGTCATGTGCATTGTGAGTTGCAAGTTTAACAAAATTTCAAGCTTTTTTTTTTTTGAATTAATTGTGTAAATTCCCAAGATGCTATCAACTAGTGATCATATTATCAAGCTCATTATTGCCTGTTTAATTTTCTTTTTTAGGCCAAGATTTGTTTGTTTAAAAGGGTTAAGTATTTTGTATCTTAATTTGTCCTTTTGATACATTAGGATTACATAGCTTTAGAAAATTTTGATTACATAATCTATTACATCCTGATGCAGCCATTTCATAGCTAGCCAAAATCAAGTCTAGTTGTAGCTGTAGCACACCCACCTGCCATCCGTCTAAGGGTACGAGCTAGGCAAAGGCAAGCAACAGATCCCCATAGTATTACTAATAGGGTAAACTTGATTTCTATTTCAGAAAACTTGGAATGATGTAACACAAGGCTTCTATTGTGTTTTCTTTTATTAGTTGCTGCTTAGTTCATTTTCATTCAAGATAAGTTAGAATGGTTCTGTATATGACATATTTTGTTTTTCTTAGTAATGAACTTTGATAATCGTTTTTTTTTTACAATATGAATTTTGATAATCCGTTCTTTTTATTTAATTAGTCCTTATTTTCATTCTTTTTGTACATTTTTCCTTTTTACATTATTTATAGTTTTTCAAGTTATTTTAAGAACTTAAAATTTGCATGATTTAGCACACCAAAAATAATTTCCCTTTGCTTCCCTTTGAAAAGCCTATGATTAGATGGAAAATCAAAAGTTTTCATTTTTATTGCACTCCTAACTACATTAAGGGAATGCCGGTTGTTGTGTTAAAAAAATTTTCTAAAGTTGTTGGATCATTTAGAAGATGCACCTAGAGTAATTATAAGCTAGGGTTCTGTATTTTGACAAATATGATTAGTATGAATAATAGATATCAACATATATGACAACATAAAAAAGATGGACCAAATGCATTAGATAGAGGAAAAGTTATCTAAGAAATTATGAAAGTATATGGTGGGTGTTTTTAAAAAATCTATGCCTTATTTTGGTATAGAATATGATTATATTGATAACATTTATTTTTTATACAAAATGCTACCTATCCAACCTAATGTATTACCTTTAGATCAAGTGACTTAGTAACATTACCTTCATCTAGGTGGTATTGCGTTTAGTTCTTCCATTGCATAGGTAGTTAGGCACTCTACCCTACAGACAAAACAAATAAAGTGATCAACTATTTTACTAACATCATAACTAATGCTTTTGTATTTATAAGAACTCAAAATTACTTTAGTAGTGCAAAGACGTGCACGTTACTAGATAAGTAAGCATCATTTATTCAGATAATATAAATATCTTATTTAATAAATGTCATTTATATAGAAATAAGAGTTAATGTTATTTGTATTTGCATTAGCAAAGAAAATCTATAGATCCCCTCTCTTTATCAACTACACCCAACAGAGATAGAAGATT